ATCTTAGCTGTGGAGGGCAGTGTCACTGGCCCTCATATGTGGGATCCGAACCGGGGCCCTCTGGCATCCCAAGCCAGTTCTTAATCATCGCGCCACTCGGCCGGCCCGAGTTCTTCCTTTTTTTAAACAACTATATGCATTTTTGCTCAATCCGTTAAAACCAAATTATTTTCTTTAAACATTTACTTAGAAATTTCATCTTCTAAACACAAGGTCAAAGAATTAGAGAATTTCAGTGCTAGAAGAATCTTTAGAGTATACCCAATGTAGGAGTATTCTAAACTTTGGCTGGCATCAGAAGTCCCTGTGGCTTTTGTTGAAATGCAAATGGACAGGCCCTTCCCCACCCATCTGGCTCAGTAGGCTTGCAGTGGGATCTGGAAAAGTATGCCACCACCCCCACCCCAAGGTGACTCTCATGTAGGGGTATACAGATCACTGGGAAGAACACCACTGTGGTAATCCACCCACCCCTTCCCTAAAGCAGGAATCATCCTATCACATTGACATCCTACTGAGGCCTTTTCTGCCTCAGACCACTCCCTTCCCAACTCCTGCAAGTAATTCTCTGCTTCTTGGGGCAGCCCATTACACATCTAATGGAAGCTTCTAATAGAAACCTTTACATTTAAAACATAAATCATTCCACATGGGCTTACATGAATATACCGATGCAATGACACATGGAAAATTTAATTCATGAAGAACTGACCTGCTTCTTCTGGTATTTGTTTATCAGATTCAAAAATAAGGCGTAACATCTGGAATAGTTGGCCAAGGCAACACAGCAGTCATGGTAAGAAGTAAGTTTGCTGCAGAGATGCCAAATAAGAAAATAAAAATAAACTTTGTTTTCTTCATAAAATTCAAGTACACATAGTGTTGCTTTAAATGCAGACCTTTAAAGCATTGCCCAATGCATACAAGGAATCTAGAAATACTCCACACCCCAGTCCAGGGAAGGCTCTTGGAGGCTTGCTGTCTGCTCTAGACTCTGGGGTCATGGAGCAGGAAAATAAAATAAGTTCTTCGAAAAAGAGAAATCTGAAGCCTCTAACACATGTATATGGTATAAATTTACAGATCACACATGGTTCAGAAAATGCAAGCCAAGACATTTACACAAAATCTGGTTGAATATCAAACAGTAAATACCCTGGGACCCCATCAGCAGCAAATATTAAATATACTAGGTTGCTAGTGGTATATGAATATCAGGAAAAATAGATCTAAAAGCAAAAAGCCTTGAGAACAGCTTCAATATTTCTTTAAAAAGCCAGCATGCACACAAACAAACAAAACCCACAAGGCAATATTAACAAACTTACACCAAATTGGTAGACGTTCATAAATCTCTCATTAATTGATACATTAATAGGTAAAACATTATTAATATTTTAAAAACTTGACCATGTACCAGGCCATTAATAAGTCTCAGTAAATTTTCAGATAATTAATATCTCACAGGTCACATTCTCTCGTCTATGTGTAATTAAATTAGAAATCAACTTTTAAAATAATAAAAAAACACTTTTGGAAATTTAAAAACATAACTTGTGGGTCAAAAAAGCATGAAAAAAATACTTAGATATACTACAAATACTACAAAATACTACAAATCAAAATTTGTGGGATGTAGCTAAAGCAATATTTAGAGAACAATTATAGCCTTAACAAGGTTGAAAAGACAGGAATTGAGTTTCTAACTAAAACAGTTAGAAAAAAATATAATATATCCAAGGAAGGTAGATGAAAGCAATTATTTAATAAGGGTAAGAATGGAGGGAATAAAATAGAAAACAAACATATAATAGAGTGGATCAATAAATCTGTTGGTTCTTTGCAAAAACTGATTTTTAAAAATTGGCAAACCTTTGGCAAGACTGATCAAGAAAAAAAGAGAAACATAAATAATAAAAATTAGGAATGAAAATCGTATCAACAATGAAGAGGCACTGTAACAGTGGTTAAATGTATGAATTTGAGAGCCAGACTAGCTGGTTTGAATTGCAGCTCTATGATTTATTAGCTGTGTGACCTGGGAAAACTACCAAACCTCTCTATGCCTCAATTTCCTCATATGTAAAATGAAGATAATAATAGTGCCTACTTTTTAAAGTTGTTATAAGGAGTAAACAAATTAGTATTTGGAAAATACTTAGACTATTTCCTGGCACATAGTAGGCATTATATTAGTAATTGTTAAATAAGTAAGATAAGTAAAAGGGGACATAATTAGAGATACAACAGAGATTAAAAGAATAGTAAGAAAATATATGGAAACACTTTATATTGTTTGAAAACTTAGATAAAATGGACAAATTCATATAAAAATATAACTTTTGAAACTGACACAAATAGAAATAGGAAATATGATTAGATATTTAACCACTAAAGAAAGTGAATCAGTAGTCAACAATATTCACACATTCACACACACACACACACACACACACACACACACACACACACACACACCAGGATAAAACAGCTTTTCAAGCAAGTTCTACAAAATTTTCAAGAAAAACATAAATTTAATTTTCACAAATTCTTCTAGAAAAGAGAAAAAGGTGGAATACTTTCCAAACTTATTTTATGAGGCTGGTCAAAAATTGACACTAAAACCAGACAAGGCCAATATGACAAAGGAAAAGTACAGGTCAATCTAATCCATAACCATAGACGAAAAATCTTAAACAAAATATTAGTTAACCAAATCTAGCAAAATGTAATGGTTTAACATGAGAAAATCTATTGATGTCATATACTACATTAATAAATTAAAAAAGAAAATCCATATAATCAAAATAGATTCAGAGCAAGCGTTTGAGAAAATTTAACATCCATCAACAGAGAAAATTCTTCCTTAACCTTCTAAAGGGTATTTAAAAAACCCTGCAACAAATATTATTTTCAACTGGTAAACCACAAAAATATTTCCTTTAAAGTTGGGATAAAGGAAGCAGGCCAAACACTCTCACAACTTTGTACTGGACATCCTAGCAACGTGATAAGAAAGCAGAAGAGACAAGGATGAGGAGTTGTAATAATTGGGAAAAAGTTATTCTTATTTTCAGACAATTCACATAGAAAATCCAAGAGAATCTATAGACAAAATCTTAAATCTAATATTCATCAAGGTCCCTGGATACAAGATTAATAAGTAAACATCAATACTATTCATACACACCAGCAACAACCTATTGTGTGGAATCTAAAAAACAAAATAAATGAACAAACAAAACAGAAACAGACTCATAGATACAGAGAACAAATTGATGGTTGCCTGATGAGAGGAGGGTTGGCAGGCTGGGTGAAAAAGGTGAAGGGATTAAGAATTACAAATTGGTAGCTATAAAATAGTCACAGGGATGTAAAGTACAGCATAAGTAATATAAACAATAACATCGTAATAAGTATATGTGGTGCCAGGTGGATACTAGACTTATTGGGGGGGATCACTTTGTAAATTATATAAATATCTAACCACTATGCTGTACACATGAAACTAATATAAAATAATATTGAACATGAATTTTTATTTTGTAAAAATACTAGGATAACTCACAACTCACCAAAGAACTAAAGTACTTACAGCCAATGAGTTTAGAATCACATTATAAATACATAAGAAATGAAGTCATTAGTTTAAATCATTCATTTTAAACTAGATTTACCTTTGCTGCTAGGTGAGGTAAGAAGATTACTTACCTGCCACACACACAAATATTAAAGATAGCCTGAACCTGAAATCTAAGCACCGGCATTTTTGTTAAGGCTGCTTTGTTTTCCTAATCTACCTACCTGAATATTCTGGCAATATTGGTGCAGACATCCTTGTCATCCATGTACTGTCCCATCACTGTGCAGAGCTGGGGAAGGGCACTGACACACAGCAACTTTCTTCTTGCTAGTGGTGAATCAACCAAGTTTCTCAAAGTAGCAGTTATCTGGGGAAACAAAAACAAAAACAAAAACATGTTTGTATCATCTTTTTAAACTGGAAAATTAGCAACACTAATCAGCACAGCACAATTCATCCCATAAATTTCATTATATCAGTTGCTAAACCAAGCCCCTGTTATGTATCTCTCACCAGGGAACATGGGTCTAGGCACAAGTAGCATGAAAGGAAAACCAAGAACTGAATACAAAGAAAATCTACTTTGGTTCAAAGCTAAAGAATTGGAATATTCATGTTCATAAGCAATTATTATACCAAAACCCCAGGGTTATAGAAGTCATCATCTGGGTTTGTTGGCAGTCATAAGGTCTTCAATTGACCCTGAGACATGCCACATCAGTTCCACAGATTTGAAACTTCTCGTTCCATAGTCTTATAAGTAGCACCAAATAATGCTGTGGCCAAAGGATATTTAAGACCATTAGTTTCATTTTCTTCTAAGAGGCAAGTATTGATTTCTTGCAAATTAATCTGATTTTGTAAAAAACTGTTCGGGAAAGTTATTGACATAAGGCTTTGTCTAAAAGTAAAGAAGAAACCAAGTTAGTAAATCCATAAAATGGATGTTGCTGTTATCTAATAATTTTATTTTTATTTTTTGTTTTTGTCTTGTTTGTTTTTAAAGATTTTATTGGAGAATTGGAGAAGGGGAACACCCAAGTTGTTGTCCTTCAATCTTAGTTGTGGAGGACATAGCTAGCTCAGCTTCTAAGTCCAGTCACCATCTGGCCACCCATTGGCAGCTCAGCTCAAGGTGCTGTGTTCAGTATTAGTTGTGGGTGGGCGTATTCCACCATCCCATGTGGGAGTCGAACTGGCAGCCTTGTTGTTAAGAGCACATACTCTCACCAGCTGAGCCATCCTGCCTGTTGGCAGCTCAGCTCGGGCACAGCTCACTAACCCATGTGGGAATCGAACCGACAACCCTGTTGCTCAGAGCTCGTGCTCTTAACCAACTGAGCCATTCGGACAGCCCTGTTATCTAATAATTTTAATATGCAGTGTGATCTTCTTTCATGGGATAGTACAGGCAGATTGCTGGTTAAGAGAGTCAGCTCAGGAGTTGGACAACCTGCTCGAGCCCCAACCCCATCACTTACTAAGTTGGGTTAGTTAGTTAACCCTCCAGAGCATGTTTTTTTCATCAGTAAAGCTGGAATGGTGATAACTGCCCTGGATTGTAAGGATCCAATGAGATAAGATGGTGAATGGCATTGCCAGTGCCAATTACCTAACAACAGCTCAGAACCCCTCCTTGGGTGCTATCTTCACCTTTGTTGTGGGACTTCACATCCAAAATGTAGAAGAGAGATCACTGGCCTTAGAGTCAAATGACGGAGACTCAAGTCCTAAATCTCTTCCTGGTTATGTGATTGAGGCACTCACTCTTTCTTCAACCTCCCTCTTTCCTCATCTGTGAAAACGGGGTTACAGTCCCTGCTTACCTCTCAAGATGGTTGTGTGTATCAAGTAGAAACCATGTAACAGTGCTTCTATACACTATAAAGCATTATGTCAATATAAAGCATCATTATAACCATAGTTAATACACTTTAAAAAATTATTAAGATGACATGTATCTTTGATTAGTTTTCCTTTGTAACGACAGTAACAAAAAGATTTTGTTAGAATATAACTGATAACCTGGAAAGCAAAAAAAAAAATTAAACTAATGCTTCAAATAAATGTGTACAAGTCTTTTGTAGTCAATTCAATTATACAGCAATTCAGTAAATGATTTCCCTGAAAGCGTCAGTATCCAAAACACTGGAGGGGAAACAAACTACAAGAGCATTTCACTTAACTATAGATGTACAATGTTGTCTCCTAAGCTAAGGAATGAGTCTTCTGTGAAGACTAATAAACCATTCTAGGCAACACAGGCCATTACCTCCACACAATGGAAAATGCTCATCATCTGACCCTGGCTCTACCTGTTTTCCCTCTTCAGAGACAGCCCAGGCACTCCAGCAAGTGCTGCTGGTTTATGTCAATTCAAGAAATGACTCACAAGCTTTCCTACTCCAACACCAACGAGCTCAGATGCCCACGTGAATGCTGACCTGACCCAGGCAGGTGGAGATGAGAGACTGTGGAACCCATACTAACCACTGCACACAGCATCAACTTCTTTCCCTGGTCCCAAGGCTTCACAGATCGCCGGCTTGATCTACAGTCCCCTTGCTCCCACATCTACCCTCTGGCAGGGCACATGGTCAGCAAGGGACAGTTGTTTTCTTAGGTTTTATTTTCTTGTTTCCGTTTTTTTCTTCCTGTCACCCCTTTTACTCACCTCATCAGAAAAGGTTAAGACTGCTCATTTTGCCCCCAAAATGCTACTTTTACAAATGGCCCAATTCAAGAGTGGAAGCAAACATTTATATGTGACATGTCATCTGATTTTAAATTAAAACCCTGTGCATTTACTGCAATATCATTGTGTGGAACGCACACTGTTGCATTAGATATGATACCTCGAATATTTCCACACTTGTGTGATGCTGACAGAGTGATATATGTGAAACATATACCACGCACTTGATAAATACACAGTAATACCTCAATATATGACTCCACCATTAACCCAGGTGCTCAAGTCCCAAACCTCTGAGACATCCCAGAACCCTGCCTTTCTGCCTTTTTGTCACCCAAAGCTCTGCGGGCTTTTTGTCCAATTGCTCTTAGGATAAGATTCCATTTCTCGACCATGATGTACAAGGTCCTGTATGATCTGATTCTTATCAATCCCTCAAACTTCCTCACACACCATATACAAATTATTTAATATTAGGTTATATAATATGTCTTATTATCTGTCTACTCCTCTATATGAGCAGCTTAAGTGAGGACATAGGTGTTTTGTCTTTTCACCAATGTGGCCCCAGCCCCAAATCCAGTGCCTGGCACACAGTGGGTCCTCAATAAATATTTGTAGATGCAATGAATGGATAGATGAATACCTACAAAGGAAAGGCTGGGAGTAAATAAAATGGTTAGGATATCATAAAACCATGGATTAATCAATATTTCTGAGGTAGTTGGATTTTAAGATGATTTTGAAGGAGAAGAGCTATAAAAAATAATCGATAAAAGAAAAACAGACTTTCTGGAGGTGGGAGGGACTGGTCCTCTGTATATTCCCTATGTATGTCATTCATGACAGTAGCTCCTTTCTTGGCTCCTAATGTCCCCCCCTTAACTTTTCACACCTGACTGATCACCCCGCCTACTTCTTCCCATCACCAGGTTGCTGGTTCAGTTTAAGCCTACTTCATCTCTTTCCCAAATTCTACAGCCCACTGACAGGGCTTCTTTCAGTTTCTCTCAGTCTGGCTCATCTCCCCACAGTGGCCCCCTGCTGCCAGAGGGAGCATCTCAAGACCCAACCTTCCCTGTTCAAAGACCTTCTCTGACTTCTGGTGGCCTAGAGGGCAAAATCCATATCGTAAAATCTCTTCACTCTCTAAAGCACAGCTCAGCCTTCCAGCCTCATCTCCGCCGCCTCCTTCTCCCCAGCGCACCTACCATCTTTCAGACTCTGCACCACACACAGTGTCCTTGTCCTGAGACAATTCCAAGCCTTTGCACGGACCATCGCATCTGCCCAGAATGTCTTCCTCCAAATAGTCCTGTGCCCCTCCTCCAGCGTGGTCACCTCCTGCTCGTGTTTTTGGACCAAGCTCAGGCTCGCTTCTCCTCTGTGAAGATGTCTCAGCAGCTCATCATTTCATCTCCCAGATTAACAAACCATCCTCTTCAAGATGTCTGTACCGCACCCATCACAGAACCATAACTGCTTGTTTCATGCACCTTCTCTCCCATGGTGAGCTCCTCGAGGGTACAAGGCATTTCTTATTCCTCTTTCTACTCAGAGGACAATAAATACGCTCATGAAAAGCTAGCTGGATGAAACACAGAAGGAGAAAGGGGCATGAGGAATGGAGGGGAAAGGCAGAAAAGAGAGGGAAGGAGATAAAGGGACATGGGGGATGGAAAGGGAGGCTCTTCCCCTTTAAGAAGCCTTTGGCAAGAAAGTGTCTGGATTAGCTGAGGCCTGGTGGTAAACCAGAGTTTAAAACCCCTGAGGAAGAAGGGTCAGGAGGAGGTCACCAGCAGATACAGCAATGAAGGCTCCCCACTTGGCGATGCTGGCTGTGAGACGCCATTCTCACTGTGGGGGTGGGGTGGGGCCGAATACTGAGCACCAACAAGTGCCTTTTTCTGGGAAAAAAATGTTAAAAATATTGGTGGGAGGAGAGCCTAGCTAAATCCTGTGGTAATAGTAAAGGCGAATTACAAGTCAATCCACTTCACTCGCAACCTTGTTCCAACTTTTAACGGAGATATTTTTGCGGAAATCATTTATGAGTCCTGTAGGAGTCTTTGTTTTCCAGCCCCCAGGAAAGCCCACCCACTGGGCCCGCCCCCAAAGCAGGAGTTCACCGAAGTCCAAGCTTTCTGCTTGGAGAAATGTATCCGTGTGTTTCTTAACTTTCTACTCTTAATTTATAGTGTATCCTAACTCTACTTAGTTATGTACTTTTCTATATTATTGTATATGCTCTTTTAAGCCATCTCAAATACTTTATGATGAAAAAAAAAGGAAGTAAAAGTTAGATGCATACATAGATGCCTGGTTAGCTTCTCAAGCACTTATTGGAACAATTCCCAACCTCTTAACTGTCATCTCACCAAGAAATAGCAAACTGAAAAACATGAATAGCAATTCTTCTTTTTCCCATCTCCTAATGCACAACCCCTTGGGACAGATATACTGAGTCAGAAGACAACTAGGGGGAAGAAGAAAAAGAAGAATGTGGAATTGATAATCCACAAAGAGGATAAATAAAATTTTAAGGATCCTTCTTTAGCAGCAGTTATTAGAGGAAGCCTGGGACAAATGGGGACCTACGTTTTTGGTATATGTCAAGGAAGAAATATTCCAGTGTGATTCTGGTTACTAATCTACACCTAAAAAATGACTGA